TCCTTACCATAAAGTCATAAATTATCCTGAATATACACAGATGGTGCCAAAAAATGTATACAGAATTTTAAGAAAGGAAAAAACTGTATTAAAATTGTAATACTCAATATAAACCAATAACAAAAGATGAATACAAGTCATGTGTACAAGTTCTGACAATTAGGTTTGTGAACTTGTTGCAATGATGCTGCTAACCTTTTGTGATATCAGAGGGATTATTCATTATGAGTTTGTACCAACTGGACAGACAGTTAACCAAGTTTACTATTTGGAAGTGCTGAAAAGGCTGCGTGAAAAAGTTAGATGAAAACGACCTGAACTTGTCGCCAACAATTCATGGCTCTTGCATCACGATAATGCACCAGCTCACACGGCACTGTATTGGAGGATTCTTGTGGTAAAATCATCAAGAAGGAAGGTAGAGAACAGCTACAGCGTTGTCAATGGCACCAGAGGAAGAGCAGAGAGACTCCTCTTGTCACTGCTGTCTTCCCTTGGAATGACGTGTTTGAATGACAAACACTATGAAGAGGGAACTGAAGGCCAACGAAGCTCATTGCTCACTATGGCGGATGAGTTCCAGTCTCTCTATTACAAGGCAGGGCACTGACAGACTTGCAAACGTGATTTGGAGCCTTGATCTACGTGCGCTACTGGGAAGATTCGTGGGGAAAAACAAAGGTCAGGAGCCTGTGAAAGAATAAATCTGGCTTTGATTTTCAAAAATAGGGGCAAGGATAGATTTAGAAAATACAGAGGTATGCTTCGTGTCCGTCCCTGCCAAAGTTCTAGAAGAATGATTAAACTGAGGTGATTATTTCAGTAGCTTTCTAACTGGCCTCTGTTTCTGCCCTCAGCTACCCCACACCCTGTGCTGTTCTCAGTCTAGCAACCAGAAAGAGGGATCCTCCTAAGTCAAATCATGCCATGTCTGCTCAAAACCCTCCAGCGGCTCGCCCTCTTACTGGAAGAAAAAGCCCAAGTCGTTCCTGCGGCCTACGAGGCCCGACATGATTGCCTGGCTGTTTCTCTGACCTCAGGACTCTCACGGTTACTCTTCCTCCACCGTCTCTTGCTCTGGCCACACTACCCTCCTTGCTCTTGGCCTTCACCCATGCTGTTCTCTCTTCCCCCAGATAAGCGCTCAGCTCTCTCCCCCAAAAGTCACCTCAACAAGGCCTGTGCTGAGCACCCCATGTAAGCCCCCACACCCACTCTCCTCCTCTTCCCTGATTTATTTTTTTTCTCCATAACACTCATTACCATCCAACTTACTATCTATTCTTACTTATTGGTCCTGTCCATCAGCTTTCTCCCCTCACTAAAATGCAAAGTCAGGCTCAGAGAGTTTTATCTGCACCCCTAGTTCCTAGAATTGTGCCTATCACATAGCCATGTTCATTAAATACCGGCAGCGCCAAAAAAATGTATACACATGATTTGTATTCATCTTTTGTTATTGGTATATATTGAGTATTACAATTTTAATGGTTCTTTTCCTTTCTTAAAATGTGTATACATTTTTTTGGCACCCTCTGTATTTGTGCATCAGAAGAAGGGAGCAAGAAAAAAAGAAGAGAGGAAGAAGGCTTGGTACATCTAGAAAGAATTCACTAGGCTAGGGTGACCAACCATCCCAGCTTGCCCAGGACAGAGAGTTCCTGAAACGAGGGACTTCCATTGCTAAGACCAGGAAAGTCCCACTTGGCCACCCTACACTAGATCAGCCAACCCCATTTATTTCTGTCATACAAGAACTAGAGTGATCGTTCTCAGGAATGCCACAAACTCGCTATCTTCTCATTTCAACACCACATCCCACAGAGTTGGCTGGGTGGGAGAATGCAGAAATGTCAGTTACAAGATAGTATATTTAAGTGGTTTGCAGTTGACTGAATGGCCACACCAGACATGTTGATTGATGGACCCATGTCAGGCTGGTGGGAAGACTGCTGTGCTGACACAGAACGGATCCGCCCAGGTCTGTTCCACAATCTATCTGAGCCGTGGATGAGGACATATAAGGCAGGATAGAATCGTGAAGCGGCATGCACTAGGGAGGGAAAGCTAATATGTTCAACAATGAGGCTGGGTTTTGAAATCACCTTGACGGGTAGAAATGATAGGCCCTATATAACAATTTAAAATTTAAACAGAAGTAAATATTGGTTTCTATTTAGGATTAAAAACAAAAAGTGGGCTGGCTGAGTGGCGCATTGGTTGAGAGCTGGCTTGGGACGCCAGCTCTGAGCAGCAGGGCCCCAGTTCGGATCCCACATGAGGGCAAGTGACACTGCCCTCTGCAGCTAAGATGGTGAACAGTGGCTTGACCTGGAGCTGGGCTGCCGTGAGTCACCAGCGACGGCATAGGCTGAAGGCCCTGCTGCAGTGGGCTGCCATAAGCTACTGTGAGCAGCCTGCAGCCAGCATGAGCGGGCAGCAGCTGGTGTGAGCTGCCAAGAGCCGCTGTGAGCGGCCGTCCAGAAGCCGGCGACCAATCTGCCTCACCCGGGAAGAGCGCAATGATAATACCAACATGGGCCAGTGAAGCGACGTCCTCCACAACTAGGCTGAAGAATAAAAGGACAACAACTTGTCTGTTCCCCTTCCCCGATTCCCCAACGCTGTTCCCCTCCCCCAATTCCCCAATAAAATCTTTAAAAAAAAAACACCAAAAAACAAAAAGCAATCTTAAATGTACAGAAGAGACCAGGTAAATAGCTGCTTTGTTTGTTTTAAACCCAGCATGTTTAGTTGCCCACATGCTCAGTCTAGTGTGAAAGCTAAGACTTCAAATGCCACTTAGGCCATGTTAATAGACACAGAGGGCACAGTCCCACTGTCCTCCAGCCTGGTTGGAACACACCTGAGCCCTGTGCCCAGCTCTGTACCAGGGAGAGGCTGCTCACTCTCATTTGCTCAGTTTCTAGCTATTCTAGAACACAGCAACCCACAAAGTGCTTTTTTTCTCCCTCTCCCTAATTGGCTATGTCCTGGCAGTGTCATCTCTTTTCAGGAGAAAAGAGGCCACTTGCTGCCATCCTCTCCCCAGCTTACCTAACTTCTCTGGGGTAGCCAGCGTGGCTTCCAGCACTCCCTCAGGATTCCAGTGTGTAGCTGAGGAGTCTGAGGGAAGGACGGTAGCAAAGAGCTCTTCCATCATCCAGCCTTTCCATCTTCCAAACTCAGGCATCTTTAGAGTATTTTGAGCTAGTGGAATCTAAGGCCCTGGGCCTCTAGCTGTGCTGGTGGTCACTTCCTGGGTTGCTGTGTCTGGGCCCAGGGCTCCTAGGGGTGTTGTTGGGTGGCAGCAGAGGTGCTGATGAGAGAGGGCTGCAGGGCTCCACAGGCTTTCCAGGGCCCTGAGTGCTTATTTAAGGGAACAGCACACCAAACCTCTGTGCCATGTAGGCCCATCCAGAAAGGCAGCAACTGCCGATTGTCCTGAAGGAAAGGAGAGGCGTTGATTTCTGACCAGTTTTTCATGATCTGCACAGGCCCAGCCCTGCCTGCCTCTTCCTCACAGGCCTTCGGGATCAGAGAGAACAAATGCAAAGCTCACAGATGGTGAATAGGCTAGATCCCACAGGCCAGCTTTAGTCAGTTGGCAGGGCTGCCCAGAACACAGCTGTGGTGATCTCAAAGTTCATCAGGAAAGAACACAGGAGGCTTAGGAGTGTGGGCCATGGGTGCTGGAAGGGGAAGGGAGCATGTATGTTATGTCTCTGCTTGGCCAGCCCCCTCCCCTAAAGAACACATCACCCGCCCTTGGAAAAGATCACATGTGAATGGAGCCTGCTGACCTGAGTAGCCCATCAGTAAAGTGGGAAGGAGCAGAGGACCACCCTCCAGCCCCCTTCCCAGCCCTCTCCCAGGGGACTGGAGCAGGAGTGAAACACTCTAGCCACCACAGGAGGGAGCTCTGAGGTTCTCAAAGTGTGGTCCCCAGACCAGCAGCACCAGTGTTTGCATTAGAAGTGCAAATTCTCAGGTGCTGCCCACATCTAGACCAGAAACTCTGGGGGTGGGCCCAGCCATCTGTGTTTAGCAAGCCCTGAGGTGATTCTGAGACAAGCTGACCTGCTCAAGAGGAAGAAGGCTTCCTCACTGGCCGTTTGCAGGTCTTCAGAGAACCCTGCTTTCCTGTGCTCACAGAGCAAGGAGCCCCTCTGGCTTGGGGTGAGTGTGCTCTTTCTAGGTCCCATGGGGCCTGATGCTCTGTCTCCTGGTCTGGCTTCCACCAGTGTGTGCATTTGACTCTGGATGGCAGCTTAGAGCAGCCTCTAATAAGTCTGCCAAATGTTGTCTGTAGCATAGGGGTCCTTAACTCACATTGCTTCTTTTCAGTCTTAGGAGCCCCATGACTTTCCCCAGCATATATCAGAAGCAAGCGCTATGGCCAGGGGCCTTTTGATCTGGACCTGCACCCTTGGCTGGCCACAGTAGACCCTCCCCTGGCCTCTGCTGCCTTTCCAACAGCTGCCCTCGTGACACTTGATCTTTAGAAGTCAATCTTTTTTTAAAAAATTTTTTTTATAAATACTGCAGAAGCAAACCAGGTTCATTGCAAATTATACTGAAATGGCCTAAAAAGATAAATGCGGCCATTTCCTTGTCCCACAGCCCTCCCCTCCCCTCCTCAAATCCTCTATCACCCCACAACTCCTGCCCCAGTGAGCCCATATTCTGGCTGTCTTGATGATTTGCAATTCTCTGTGTGACTCTTGGGCTTGTTTAATTAGAAATAGGCCTGGGAAGTGCTTCTTATGCTCTGGCATGTTAATTGCTTATCAGAGAACGAGAAGGAGTGACAACGTTTAGTGATGGAAATTTCCACTTCCCCCGTCTCTGGCTTTTTTCTCCATTTTTCTCCCCCACCCCTCTCCTTGCCTCATGTGCGAGGCCAGAATTAAAACCTAAAGGGAAAATCTGTGCCCTCTTTTGCCATTCCCTCTCTCTCCTCTCCCATCCCAACCCCTCCGTCACCCTCTGGGCTTTGAAGGGACTCCAGAACAGAGAGCTCTGAGATTTACTCAGTACCGGTACTCAAAGGACTTTTTTTTTTTATTCCTTTCCCCCTTTATTATGGTTGTTCTTATTTAGCTTTATTTTTTACAAAACAGGAGAAAAGAGTGAATTGGGTTGGGGGGAGGTGATACGTTTCTCCACAAAGGTACAAAATTGCCTATAGAAAGTCAACCTCAGAGTGCCAACAGGGCAGCCTCTCCCCAAATGTCCTTCAGAGCCCGTTGGGAGCAGTCCCCCAAGATGGGAGGAGAAGCCTCCTTCAGCCCTCGCTCAGGAGGCGAAAGAGCAAACAGCTGAGACTGTACAGAGAAAGAAAAGACGAGGAGCGCATCCTGTGAGCCAAGGCCTGGGGACATAGGCAGGGGACATCCCGGGAGAGGCCCAGGAGCCTCTGGGCATGTAGACAACTGGGGAGATGAGAGACTCTAACCAGAGTCCTTCTGTCCCTTGAAGATGCTCCTCAAAACAGCAGCAGAGGAGACCCCAGAAGGCAAGGACCACATTTTGGAGGCTGCAGGAGCAACCCCTGGGGCCACAAAGTCCCATCTGTCTTGGTCCAACTGCCAGGCGTCACGCACGTGGGTCCATGTCACATTCCTGGCAGGGCATCTGGCCCAAATTGCTTCCCTTTTGGTAAAAAGTAGTCCTAGTCATGTTTCTACTGCTGAGAATAGGCTGAGCTCCAGGAATTTTGTGACAATGGTGGTGACAGTGTCTCTCCTGAGGACCTGGATAGCTTCCTTCCCAGATTCCAGGGCAGGACAAGGGGTGCAGACACCACCCGGACTGAAGGGGCACCCCAACCCCAGAAAGCCCAGGCTGGAAGAAGAGGCCGCCCACCCACCCCCTGCCTGGGCTGGCCGGTGCCAAGGTGGGCTGCCAGCCCGGCTGCCAGCAGGAGAATGGCTAGAGCCAGGATGGCAATGAGCCCAGGTCGGTCCCCTAAGGCTCTGTGGCAAGGAGTGGCCTCTTTAGTCCTGGCCCATACACAGGCCAACTGGGTGTGGGCATCAGCAAAGGCCACTTGCAGACAGGCCCAGTATTCCGTGGCCTGAAGGAGGCGGGTGATGTTATAGCTGTGGGTGCCCCGAGGCAGGCGGGCCAGAGCAGTGGCTCCCTGGCCCCGGAGAGGAGAGGCGCTGGACCAGGTGAGGTTGGTGGAGATGGTGTTGGGTGGGGAGACCCAAGATAGCAGGATGTGATAGGGGTGGGTCTCCTGCACCCGGAGCTCTAGCCCCCATTCCTTGTCCCTGCCTGGCTGCAGGGGAGCCTGGCCAACCACCACACTGACTGTCTTAGTATCAGCCCCCACCAGGTTCTGGGCCACACAGGTGTATAGCCCTGCCTCTTCCACTGTCACCCTCTGCAGCTCCAGGGTCCCCTCGGGGTACACCCGGTATCTCCTGTCTGCATGGGCAGCTATCAGTCGAACCCCGACTGGGGTGACCCAGTAGATCTCAGGTTCCGGTTCAGCCAGCGCCCGGCAGTGCAGCACCAGACTCTCTCCACTGGCCACATGAAGGCTGGGGGGAAAGCTGCGGGGGGAGATGAGGGGCAGGCAATGGTCCGTCATCTCCCGGAAGGGCACCTCTCGGACTGGACGGCGCTGGAGGTCTGGCGGCTCAGCACACAGGGTGGACTGTGGCTCGATGAAGCGGACACGGGTGCCCGTGGCATTGGCCCAGCGGATGACACAGTCACAGCGGATGGGGTTGCCATGAAGACCCACCTCCTGCAGGTTGGGCAGGGATTCCACTGTCTGCCGGTGCAAGGCACTGAGTGCGTTGTTATTGAGCATGAGGGTTTCCATCTGGGGCAGGTGGTGGAAGGCTCGGGGGTGGATGAAGGACAGCCGGGGATTGTTGGTGACGTCCAGCTTGGTCAGCTCAGGGAGGTTAACCAGGGCAAACTTGTCGATGGAAACCAGCTCCTCCATGTTGTTCAGCCCCAGCTCCTTGAGGTGCAGCATGTTGGCGAAGTCCCCTGGCCCCACACGCTGGAGCGGGTTCTTGTTCAGGTCCAGGAATTTGAGCCCGGGCACCTGCTCCAGTGCCCGCCTGGGCACCTGGGCTAGCTGGTTGTCATAGAAGGAGAGGCTCTCCAGGCTTTGCAGCCCCTCCAGGGCATAGTCAGAGATCTCCCGAAGGTTCATGCCTGCTAGTACCAGGCTGCGCAGGCTGGCCAGGGGCCGGAAGTTCATGTCCAAGATGGCATCCACCTTGTTCCCGCCAATCATGAGGATCTCCAGGTTGGGCAGCATCTCGAACCAGCGGCTGTCCACGGCCCTCAGCAGGTTGGAGTTGAGGTGCAGCCGAAGCAGGTTGCCAAGGCCGGCAAAGGCCCGGGGGGCAATGCGGTATAGCTGGTTGTGGTTGAGATAGAGCTCCTGCAGGCTGGCCAGCCCTGCAAAGCTGTGGTCCTCCAGCCGGGTCAGCTGGTTCTCCTCTAGGTGCAGGCTCAGCAGCTGGGGCAGGGCACGGAGGTCACAGTCACGGGCATCCGAAAAGCTGTTCTGAGACAGGTCCAGCTCAGTGAGGTTGGCCAGGTAGCCAAGCTCACTCGGGTCCACGCGGATGATGCCGTTGCTCTGCAGTAGCAGGGTCTGTGTGCCTGCAGGCAGCGCCGGGGGCACGGCCGCCAGAAACAGGTCATTGCAGTCGACGGTGGTGGCCTCACGGTAGGATGAGCGAGGCGTGTACCAGGGCCGGATCTGGCAGGCACACCGAGGGGGACAGGGCACACGCCAGGGGACCACGGGCACAGTGGCAGTGGCACCAGCCACCCAGGCTAGCAAGAGTGAGGCCACGAGGAGCCTCATTGTGGAGCCGCAGGGAAGAGGACCATCCACAGGAGAAGTCTGGAGTCCTGCTCTTAGCGGTTTGCAGGCTGAGGGTCAGCAGCCTGCCAGGGCCTGGGGACCCACCCTCCCAGGGCAGTCATGCTACACGGGGTAAGAATGGGCCCTTTTTGCCCTCCTGGGTGTGGCTGTCCATCCTCGTCCGCTGGGCCTGCTCACTCATCGCCACGCCCCACTGGGGCAGCCCTGGAGAAGAGGAGGCAGAGTTAAGCAGGTGGCAGAGAAGCAGAATCTAGTCCCTCCTCCCGTCTCACCTGTCTGACTCAAGAGGCCAAAGGAGCTGAAGGGGTGGACAGGGCCAAGGCTCCTGGGTTCTGTCCTATCGTCCTTAGGCTTTAGAGTCCTTTTCTATGGCCTGTGGGGAAAATGAGTGACTGTGAGTCTTCAGGGAAGAAGGGAGCTTGGGCCTTGGGAGCTTCCAGGATACTTGGGAAAGGTGTGTGTGTGTGTGTGTGTGTGTGTGGAGGAGAGTTGGTGGCCGCCATTGTTGTCATCTTCAGAGTCCTTCTGAGTCCAGAGAGATGTGGAGTAGATTCTCCAAGCTTTCTTACATCTCTCCTCGCTGCTTCTTTGGCTCATTCAGTAAATGGAAAATAAAGCGATAGCTTCCAGACATCCCTCTGAGTGATGTGGGCAGGGGATGGTGGAAACAAGTGCAGCTTCTAAATTCCAGGGGGGGCGGTCCCAGGACTCTGGAAGTTAGAAGGCCGCGGCCCGTGATTCCATACCCAGACAGGCTGGGGAAGGGGGTGATTCTGCCTGGGTCTGCTTAAGCTCTCCTGGGGTGTGGTGCAGCTTGGGGTTTTGCCAACGTCCCCACCTGGAGGTAGGGGCTTTCCCTTTTCCAGTAGCCTGGCGGAACTGCCGGGTGGCGGGATTAAGAAGCCTGGGTTTGAGCTCCTCAGCCCTGCAGGTAAGACCTTACGTCACCTGGCCCCAGCCATCTCTCCTGGCTTCTCTTGCCGCCACCCAGTTTACCCACTGTGCACCACTCTTTCGGGTTGAAGTTACCCTGCTCTGCCCCTTTCCTCTTGTCTCCTTCTCATTGTCTCCCAGGCAACCCCTACTTGTTCTTCAAGGACTTAAGGTCACTCACCTCCTACAGAAAACTCCTCCCAGACCTCCTACCCCTGGCTGGCTAAGGGGCCTTCTTTATACTCCTACAGGGCCCCATGCTTCCTTCTGTCACAGCTTTGACCACATCACGTGGAACTGTTTCCCCATCTGGGAATCTGTCTTGCTCATAGTACAGGGCAGCTGTCCACTGAGTAATTTATTATATAATCAATCTCTGTAGCCCAGGGCCCCGTCCCCCATGAGGTCGGGCCCCACCCCCACCGCCATCACAACCTGTAATCCAAGCCTTTGCTCTTCCGTCCCTCCCAATCCAGGGGACCAATCCAGGTTCCCTCAGACCCCACAGCCAGGCTGCATCACCCTGGAAGCAAGTCCAGCCTTGGCCCAGAACCAAGGTGGGGGGAATAAGGGGCTTCCTGGGCCTGGCCTGACTCCTGAATGGAGGTCCGACTTGGGTAGTTTTCCAGCTGCAGGTGTCAGGAAAGCACACATGATTTGCCAGGACTCTTCAGACTCTGAATATCTATTTTGATTTAACCCATATAACTAGTCTATAAGATAAGCATTAATACCCCCAGTTTGCAGATGAAGAAACTGAGGTTCAGAAGAGGGTAGAGAATTTAGCTCAAGACACATAGCTGGTAAGTGGCAGGAGACAGGAATCCACCCAGTTTGTGCCATTTATACCAAGCTTCTCAGCCCCCAGGTCTGGCCGGAGCCTACCGTGGGCACCCTGGGGTGCAGTAGTGACTGCAACAGCTGGGTGGGTGCCCATGCTTGTCTGCTGGTGCAGTGAGTCCTTACCAGAGATCTTCAGGAACCTGGGAGCTGTGTCTCCTACCACTTTCCAGGCAGATGCCTCTCAGCTGGCCAGAAGGGCTCTTTGCTCACTTCATCCTGCTTCCAGGACAGTGGGGCCCGGGAGGGCTGCAGTTGGAGGCTTGGTACCCTTCCTCAGCAGGAGAGCGGCATGCCTATTTACAGCTACCTCCCACCTTCTTTTGCAGCTATTTCTGAAGGTGAGAAAAAGAACCGTGACTTAAAATGAACAGAGGTTTTGCGCAGGATTGTGTGTACTGACACGTAAAACTCGGGGCAAACAAACACATGTGCACACATGCATGCACATCTACATACATGTGCCAGAGGAGCTCCGGGGGCCCAGTCACCCAAGCCTGTGACTGTCAGCCAGGAACGGGGCAGGGGATTCTGTGGTGCACGATGTAGGTGGAGGGGCAGCAGGGGCAAGCTGAGTCCCTGAAGGGCCCTGTCATGGAACTGGATCTAAGGCCAGTGGTTCTGCTTCCTGCCGAGAGAGCAGAACCTACCAGCAAGGAGATCTTACTATTTACTCACCACTTCCTACCAGAAAAGCTACTGACTTCTCTGAGCATCTGTTCCTTATGTATAAAATGAAGTTGTCATTAGGATTAAAGGAGCTAAGTGTGTTGCACACAGAAAGAGCTCAATAAATGTTAGTTCCCTTCCAGCTCCGCTCATCCCCTGGGGTTGGGAAGCCCTAGGACTTCTGAGGGGGAACGGAAGTTGGATCCTAGAGCTTGTCGAGACTTGCCCACTGTGGGCTCAGTGTGGCCCTCAGGTGGTGGAGTGGGTGCTGTGCACAGGAACGGACAATACACAAGCCACACCTTTACAGAATGCCACTCTGACAGGACCGCCACTGCAAAGCGATTAGGAGAGCCTGAGACTGTTCGTAGGTGGAGAGAAGGCTGAAGTGGGTGGAGAGGGTCTTTGTCTGGGCCTCAAGCATCTCCCTGGCCTTCAGATCCTACCTGAGCCCCAGGCGTCTCTCTTCCTCTAACACCTTTGTTCTAGTATCTTTGTAATTGAGAAACCATTTTAAAACTGAATTAAAAACCTCCAGAGACTGGCCTTTCCCTGCACCCCAGGCAGTACCCTCCTTCTGTCCCCCTCTTGCCGGGCTGGGTGAGTGAGGCACCGCTCCTACTCCTCACCAGCCCAGGCCTGGGGTTCAGCACCCAGAGAGGCAGCGACCTGATGACTCATGTTCACGCCATACCTCTGATCCCAAGACTTGGCAGAGGCCCAGACAAGCCCTCCCCCTGGCTGCTGAGCACACAGCCCCTTCCAGGGTGGATCTCAGAGCTGCCCACTCACCTGCCATCACCATTTACGGTTGTCTTGCACACGGCCCACTCATGCAGGCTGATTAGCAATTTCTGCCAGGAGCTCAGAGAAAGCTAATTGTCTTTTATCCATAATCTCCTGGGTGAGCGGGAGTTCAGACCATCACGTGTACATTTTCCCCAACTGGATTTCAAGCTCCTTGCGGCTGGGGCCATGTCTTACGTGCTTTTCGTGTCCCCTCAGCATTGAGTGTAGAACTGAGCATAAGAGGGTACTTGTGAGTGGATATAAATAGTGAAACGTAATCTTTCCATAACCCTGTGTGTAGGCAGAGAAAGGATTATTTAGTCTCCTTTCTCAGAGGAAGCAACGGAGGCTCTGAAAGGTTAAGTGACTTATCAGAGATAACACAGCTTCTACATGGCAGGGTCGGCATTCAAACCCAGGTCGTGCCCCTCCAGCCCAGCCAATGCGCGCTGTCTGGTGGAGCAACGCCTGCCTTACAGGGACAGAGCGCAGGGCTGGCCCAGGGAGCCGACCTTCGACACAAATCCCTTCAGAGATGGCCTCCGTCCTCAGCTCCTCCTCCCTGATGGCTACCTGCCAGGCCCCTCAGACACCATTCCTTGACTCCTGGCTGGAGTGACCTGCTGGGGGGACAGCATGGGGAAGACACCATTCCCGTGTGAGTGTGGCTGGGCCTGGAACCGCAGGGACACACAGCAGGCCTCACACAAGCCCTGCCTGGCCTGCCTTCTGACTTGGGGCTGGGGGATGCATTTTGCGCCAGCACTGCCGGCAGCAGGGCCTTCAGTGACCGGACACAGAAAGCCCTGGGGGCCACAGTCAGGGAGGTCAAGTTGCTCACTCCACAGGCAAGTTCTCTCTTGGCAGGGCTGGCTCTGCAAGCCCCATTAGACCCGCCTTCTCCAGGCAGCTGCTTTGGATTTAGCAGAAAGTGTGGAATTGGTCCCCTACATTCCCGATTAAACGAAGACCCTTGGCAAAGCCCTAAATGAAGAGATTTGGAGAAACTTGTCAGGAGTCAAGGCTGCTTCTCTCTCCTTCTCCAGCCCTGCCCCCAGCACAGTCCCTGTGCTCCTGCCAAACATTTAGATCTCTGTTCCTTCGGCGAGCTGGTGGATGCAGCCTCTCCCTGCCCTCCTCCCGTCGTCCCTGTCCCCTTCCTGGCAGCCTCCGCCCCGCCCCTGGGAGCAGAGGGTCTGGAGGGAGGAGCAGGCAGGCGGTGATAGATTGCCTGGCCTTCTCTGCTTCAGCGCCAGGTCCCCCTGAGCGGTGGAGACAGATGGGCAGCATAATTGAGTGTAGCGCTGATAAACTCCGGCCTCCTCACCAGCAGATAAGCACTGGGTGGAAAGGATGCAGAGGGAGGGAGGCCAGCCTTCCATCTGTACACCTGGCCTCAGCTTCTCCTGGGAGGTGAGCATGGCCCCTCACTCCACCTCTCATGTAATCACAGACAACCAGGACCTCCGAGCTGAAGGAGACCTCAGCGTTTATCTAGTCTTCCGGAGCCTGGATTCCATAAATAACTTTATGCAAAGGAGGCGTGGTGGAGCGAAGAAGCCTGGGCTTTGCAGCCAGAGTTGGAGCCTGGCTCTGTCTCTTGCTGTGTGACCTTGGGCAAAGTGGGTAACCCTCTGAACCTCAAATGTTCAAGCTGAGAAATAGGGGTAAAACCCTGCTCACAGACGAGCTGTGAGGAACACAAGGAGATAAGGGGTATGCAGTGCTTGTTAATGCCCTTCAGTTGCCCCATCCCTGCTCCTCTTATTCCATCTTACCATCTACTCCTCAGGTCTCACCTTATGTAATAAACTTAAAAAAAAATATTACTGAGGTACAGGAGAGTGCATAAGTGGCAACAATTCTCAGTGTACAGCTGAATGAATTTCTACATTTGCAGATA